CAAGATACCTTTGGGGAGCAGTGTTTGGGGGAGGTTAAAAGTCATAGAACGATTGGAGGAGAGGGACTGACAGGATGATGGGAGCTGGAGGAACCGTAGCAAGCAAGTGAAAGAAGCCTGGGGCTGCCCTTAGGTGTGTGTTGGGTGATTTCCTGGCATTTTTCCCCATTCTCTGACTCACAGCAAGATGCAGCAACTCAGGTACAACAATTTATCAGAGGGCAAGAGTCCACTAAGTTGATGCAACCCAATACCACCTTAGACAAGAGAGCACAGCACAAAATGATGCAACAGACTACTGCACCATACAATAGCACAGTCTAACTGCAACATGCCGCTGATAACAAGTCCTGTCCCCAAATGCAGCAGATACCATCAAGTAAGAACACAAGGACACAAACATTTTGCAATGTAATAGAAGAGACAGAAGTACCAATAAGATACAAGGTAATTGACTTCATTGTAGGTAGGCAAAAATGAGCTCTAAACCACAGGACAGCAGGCTGCTAAGCAGCATGAAACCCTCGCAGAATGCAAGTTTCTTGAGAGTAGGGATTTTTTACATTTGCATTTGCATTTCCAGCACCTAGGAGAGTGCTTCATAAGTGCTTATCAGTTGATTAATTGTTTGTCTCTGGCAATAGCAATCACCATGCCCCACTTACCCTCGGAAGAAACCTGACAACCTGTGAAACACAACAAGCAGCTCTGAAAACCCACTGTACGGTATTTCTCTAAATAATATAAACTTGTAGGAACAAGCGTAGTGACAACGTACGTTGGTGCATAGCAGCAGCCCATGGAACATCAGAATGTTCTCATTAGAGGACTCCACTCTAAAACAGGCTGCCCTGTTTAGAGCAGGCAGGAGGATGGGGGAAGGGCAGGGGCTTGGTGAGTACCAGACTGAGTCCTATACCTCTCCAGGGTGTGTGTGTGTTGGGGGTGGGGTGTCACCTACCTGCAGTTTTTTTCAATTCCTCCAGAAGGAAAGCTTCCTCTTCCAGGATTCGCTCCTCAATGCTTTTCTTTCCCATCCCAAAATTTCGAAGGATCTGAATGGAAAATCGCCTCAAGACCTTCCACTTTTCCCCATTGGAGAAGGCAATGCCTGGGAAGAGAGTGAGTCTTGGCTCAGCTGGTTCCCAGTCCTGAGGACTCCTAAGGAAGGGGGAGGGCTCGAAATTGGAGCTAGGATTAGGGTCGGGTGAGGGGCAGGAAAAGGCTAAAGGGAAGCAGGGGAGGGGACCTCACCATTGCCCTTTGTGAAGTCATGAAAAACTGGATACTCCCCACGTCCCGAAAATTCTTCTGCCTTGTCCACCAGAGCCTCCTTGACTGCCTCATATCCACTTAGGACAACCACAGGCCGAGTGCCCAGGTGCACGGTGAATATAGGACCATACTCCTGACCCAGCTGGGGGAAGTGGAAATAGAAGGTCAATGGGGTAGAGACCCGGGTGTCTTTGCTCATTCCCAGCCTCTCTGGGCTCCTTGGTATCCTCCCTTCTTTCCATCCCATCCTCTCTGTCTTGTCCCCCAAACCCCACCTTTGCTCAACCTTGACCCTGACCTTGGTGAGTGAGGCCAGCATGTCTCCAGATCGGAGCTGCAGTAAGTTACCCAGCAGTGGCAGGGGTCTGGGCCCTGGAGGCAGGTGACCTTTGGTCTTGTGAGCTCCCTTAGCCAGTAGTAGACAGGTGATGCTTACTAGTAGCAGCAGCAGCACTGTTCCTATCCAGTCCATGTTGGAGGCTCCTGTTCATATCGGAGGGCAGAGGCAGAGGTTAGAGTGTTACTGGCCAGAGCACACCATCCACAGACCTCTTCTTTCCCTTCCAAAGAGCTGCCTGAGTCTCTAGGCACAGAGTCCTAAAGAGCCAGAGCCTGGAAACACATGAAGGCAACCAGACAGACAGAATAGGCAGCAAGATCCTGAGAGACAGAGACAGAGACAGATGGACAAATGGAGACTGAGAAACACTCATCCAGGGAGACAGTGAATAAGGGAGGCAGAAAGGCAGAGGGGAAAAGAGTCAGAGACAGACATAGAGAGGCAGGCTAACAGGGAGAGACAGACACCCAGGGAGAGACAGATATAGATAGAGGGAAACAGAGAGTCAGACAGACAGGGGTGTGGTTTGGGAATGGAAGAAAAAAGACAGATAGAAAAAGACTGAAAGAAAACACAGGGAGAGGCAGACACGGGGAAGAGAGATGGTTACATTGAGAGACTCAAAGAAGAGAGAGAGGAACACAGAGCAGAGATATGGAGGGAAGGAGGGAGGGAGAGAGGAAGGGAGAGAGAGAGAAAGAGAGGGAGAGAGAGAGAGAGAGAGAGAGAGAGAGAGAGAGAGAGAGAGAGAGAGAGAGAGAGAGAGAGAGAGAGAATAGGGAGGTGGAGGGATATTGGTTTTATTGATTTGGGTTTGTCTCAGAGAGAGAGAGAAAAAAATAAGATAGGAGTCATGAATGAAGAGACACAGGAAAAGATAGGGGAACAGATAACTAAAGAGAGGTAGAGACAAGAGAGAGAGAGATGAAATGGGAGAGAAAGAGGGAGGGTCAGAAAGACATATAGGGACAGAGAGAATCAGGGACATAGAAGAGGACACAAAGATAGGGAAAGGGACAGAGGGAGATAGATTGGCAGTAAAAGAGACACAAAAGAACAGGAACTGGTAAAGGATGGAGGAGAAACAGAAAACAGGGGAGAGACAAATAAAGACAGAGAGAGATGAGAGAACAAGACAGAGAGGAGGAGGAAAAGAAGAAAAAGAAGGAAGGAAGGAAAAGAAAGAAAGAAAATGAGAGGATGGAAAGGAGACAGGAAGAGGTTACACAGAGAGAAAGGGATAGACAGAGGGAGACTCAGAGAAAGAGAGAAAAGCAGGAGGAGGAACAGAGAAGGATCAAAAGTACAGAGATCCAATATTCATTAAGTTTGATGGGTTGCTAAATTGCCGTGTAACCCAGAGATAAAAGGCCCAAGACACCCGGAGAAAAAGAATGATTTAAGGAGAAAAGAAAACAGGAGATTCAAAGAGCAGAGATACAAAAGCAGGGAGACGGAGATCAAGTGATACTCCTCATGCCCCCCACCCGCACTCCCAATCCAAGGTACCTGCTGTGCTGAGGGGAGCCTGATCTAGAGGAAGAAGGAGCTGAGGTGTGTTTGGGTCAAGCTATCTTGTGTCTTATGTGGGTCTTAGCACCTCTGGGGTGTGGCTCCAGGAGGCCGCCCTTCTTAAGGCCTTCCTCCCCTCTTCCCCTCCCTGTCCCCCTTTATCTATCTAGACGCTGACCCTTAATCCCGCCTTGAATTGCCTTGAGCCCTTGTAGCCTGCCCTGGGGGCCTAAACTGTCAGCCAATTATTGGACTTAATCCCCAATTCCTGGCTCCTTAGCCCTTGAGCTTGCCTTGATTTCTGCTGTATCCTGCCCCCCCCCTTTCTGCCAACCCTCCTCAGGGAAGGCTTGCCTGTGGTCTAACCTTGGGCCTGCTTGCTTTAGCTGCTAATACAATATCAGGGACCTCAAGGAGACACCCCGCCTCCTGACTTCTTTTTGGGTAGGAGAGAAGGATGAGAAGAAAGAAAGAGGATGCTCCCCAGGGCCACTGGGGGCTTTTAATGCTTTCCCCCCTTTCTTTTTTAAAAATTCATATTAAAATTTTAATTTTCAGTTGCAAATTCTCTCCCTCCCTTTACTCCCTCCCCTACCCCTCAAGGATGCAAAGAAATGTGATACTCATTACATGTATTCAAAAAATATTTTCACATTAGGGCTTATAATGTGACACTGAAGACTGGAGAAATAAGGCCAAGGCCAAATAAGTCCAAATAAGACAGACTGGGGGGGGGAGGGGTAGCAGGTGGGGCGAGGTGGGGAAGGCATTGTGCAAGCTTGGGTTTGTCTGATGAGCCCTTTCTCTGCTGTTAAGTGATGGAGTTAGATCCTTTTCACTAGGGACTGAAAAGGGGATCATCCCTGCTTCTTTCTTCTTCTTCTTCTTCTTCTTCTTCTTCTTCTTCTTCTTCTTCTTCTTCTTCTTCTTCTGCTTCTTCTTCTGCTTCTTCTTCTTCTGCTTTCTTCTTCTTCTTCTCTTCTTCTTCTTCTTCTTCTTCTGCTTCTTCTTTCTTCTTTTCTTCTTCTTCTTCTTCTTCTTCTTTTCTTCTCTTCTTTCTCCTTCTCTTCTCTTCTTCTTCTTCTCTCTCTTCTTCTTCTTCTTCCTTTTTCTCTCTTTCTCTTCTTTCTTCTCCTTTTCTTCTTCTTCTCCTTTTCTTCTTCCCCTCTCTCTCTCCCCCTCCCCTCCCCTCCCTCTCCCACCCCTTCTCCTTTCCCCTTGTTATTCTCTGTATCCTCTCCTAATCTTTCTCAGTAATGGTGTCTCTAAGTGTCCCTCTAGCTCTCATGTCTCTATCTCTGCCTTTCCTTTCTGTCTGTCTGCCTATCCATCTCTGTTTCTCTCTGTCTCTCTCCCAACCTCACTGTCTCTCTCCCTATGTCTGTAGTCTCTTTGCCCCACTCTGTCACTCCATGTGTTTTTTCCCTGTCTCTCAGTCTCTGTCATTCAGTCCCAGTCTGTCCCTCTAGGTGCATTTGTCTCTGCCTCTGTCTTTGTCACTCCCTCAGCCTCACACTGTCTGTCCCTGTCCCTGTCTCTCACTCTTACTCTGTTTCTCAAAGCCTTACTCTGTCTCTTCCCATATGTCTCTCTCTGTCTCTGTTACTCTGTATCTCCCTGTTTTGCCACTCTCTCAGCCTAGATCTGTCTCTCTGTCTCTCCCAAATGGATCCTACATGTCCTTTGAGGACTTTCAGTAAGACTCAAGGCAGTTGGGAGTGGGAATAAGAGAGGGGGACTGGATGATCTACAGTCCCTTATTAGAGAGACAGCAGGGCAGGCAGAAGGATGTGGATGAACTCTTGGCCTGTGCTAGCAAAGCTTTCTTATGAAACAAAACACTTGGATACATGCAGAACATAAGGACTTTTAATTTTTCACAAGCGGGAATTGCCACTGACCAGCACCAGGCATCTGTTACCTTCACTGCAGCTGGATCTTGTCTTTGACTCAAGCTCTGGGGCCAGAATGTTGGAGACACATAGATGCCAACACCCAGAGGTTGAGAAGTCTGGGGTCCAAAGGAGGGAGGGATGGCAGCTGGAGGTCTGAGGAGCAAGGGAAGGAAGGATGGAAGCTTGAGATCTGGGGTCTGAGGGAGGGAGGGAGTGAGGGCAATTGGAGGTCTGGGGTCCAGGTGGCTAAAGGAGGAGTCAGTCATCAGGAAGGTTCAGAGGGGAAGGGAGCAGTAAAGGGCCAAAAGCGTATCCTTGGAGCAACACCCCGACTGGTTAGTTGAGCCACCATTCCCAGGATCGGATAGAAGGGTGGATGTGGGGGTGGGGTGAGGTGTTCTTGCCAATCCCCATAGAGGCCAGGTACCTGGCCAGGTGCCTCTCTCCTCTTTAAGCTATGGGGCCTTTGGACAACAGCCTGGGCTGGAGGGTCATGTGGCTTTTAGGAGGAATTCCCTTTTATTGTCAAGCTCTGTCATCTTACTGTAGGGGGCAGATGCTGGGAAAAGGTGTACATATCAAAAGAGGGATATAGGTCCGGGCAGGCTACGGGGTGGTAGAAGATTATTGGATTAAGTGTCTCAGATCTATCTCCTCTGGCAGAGCCGTGGGAGGGGAACTTGATGAGGAGTTGGTAGGGCTGGAGGTTCCTTGAGTCTTCTGAGCCTTCTCGCCTCCACTCTTGGAGCTTCTCAACTCTCCCCTTACGCTTGGCTTCTCCTCCCAGCCCACGGCCACCCCTTGATCCTGGATGGACTGGGCCAGGCTGGGCTGGGCTAGAAATGCAGAGAAGCAGAGGGTAGAGAGCCTGGGTTGCCAGGGCTCAACGTGAGTAGAAAATTCCCTTGGCTTTCAGTGGTCTTCTGGCTATCTAGCTGCCAATCTACTTCTAGGGGTAGAGGGGAGGTATTGAATGTTCAGCAGAAACTTGGGAGTTTGAGTGGGTGGCCCACAGGGCCACCACAGGGATTTCTAAGGGAGTCCCCAGAACTGAAGGGGAGGTTGGAAATGATGTGGTTTAGGTATCTAGGGTGAGTAGGGAATCTTCATGTTAGAGACTGCTGGGGTTAAGTGAAAGCAAGGGTGTAAAGGAGGCCAGATTCCTGGGGGAAACGAGGCTCCCAAAATGATGCGGATTCCTGGGGGCTCCTTGGAGTTTGTGAGGAGACTCCAGGGAAAGGAGGGTCTGTATAGGTGACTAAGGGGTTCCAGATCCCAAGAAATGAAGGGGCATCCAGAGGTGAAAAGGCCCAGGGTCCCAGATTAACGGGGTAGCAGATGGAGTTTGTAGGGCCTAGGGAGACTGCCCAAGCCCTGGGCATCCCTGGGCCCATCCATGCTTAGAGAGAAGTGTTGCAGGAGGCTTGTGAGGAAAATGAAGAGCTCGGTGAGGGCCAGGCTTTCTCCCAGACCCAGCTGCTTCCCTGGGGAGAGAAGAGGGGGACACTGAGGGGTGAGGGGCCAGGGGAGCCTGAAGAAGAAAGAGGGAGAGAAAAGAGACAGGAACCAGGAGAAGAGAAGACAGAGACAAGGGAATGAGGGGCACAGCAGAGGACACAGGAATAAAGAGGCTGAGAAATGGAGGGAGAGATACAGGATCTGAGGGGGAATATGAAGAAGAGAGGCAAGGGGCAGGGACAGGGAAGAGACTGAGAGACAGAGAAGGGCTGAGAGAGGGAGACTGAAGGTCAGAGAAGGAGAGATAGAGGAAAGACTGAGGGATAGAGAAGGGAACTGAGAGACAGAGAGGGGGGCTGAGATAGAGAAAATGTAGAGGAGAGGCTGATAGATGGGGGGGCTGAGAGAGAGACTGAGGGGCAGAGGAGACTGGGGAATGGGGAGACTCAGCTACAACCTGCAGAGAAGACCAGGAAAGCTTCATTCTTCTTAAATCTTCCTTGTTCATCCAGGAAGTGTTCAGGGTTGAACTTCTCCAGGTCTTTGAACCGAGTGTGGTCAAAGTGAGCTGTGCACAGCAGGGGCATGATGTTCAAATCCTGGGGGTATGGAGAACGAGAGATGGGGAGCTCAGAGATATGGTCCGAGCAGCTTCTTGAGAGCCACCAGGGCACAGAGGAGGGTGATCAGCCTCCCAGATGCACTGGTCTGAGGCTCTGCAAGGGGTTATGGCTGAGGTGCATTGGTGTCCTGGAAACTGAGCAATGGACTTGGAGTTAGAAGACCCAGGGTTCAAATACTAGCTTTGCCATTCACTACAAGTGTGAATATGGGCAGATCCCTTTCTTTCTTTAAGACTCAGTTTCCCTCTCTGTAAAAAACCCATAAAGTATGGGGGCAAGAATAGATGATTTCTGAGGGTCCTTCCAGCTCTAGCTTTTTCAAGTCTTGTGATGGTGTTCTGAGGTGTAATGGGTACAGCAGAACGGGCTGTGATTGGGAATAGATTACTGGCAGAGATGGAAGGGTAGTGGTGATAGAGTCTGAGCAGGGAAGCCAGGAGTGAGTTTTGCGGATGAGACAGAGCCTCCTTCCCATGCTGGGGCCCTACCTTGGGAAGGTGGTAGCCACGGAAGGTGGTGGGCTGAGTGACTGTGTGAGGCACTGACGTGGGGACAATGTCTGCAAAGCACCGGATCTTGTGGATGACAGTATCCAGATAGGGCTTTTTGGCCCGGTCCTCCATGCTGGGGAGCTGGCTTGGTCCAATCACCTCATCAATTTCCTCGTGGAGTCAGGCTAGAGAAGGGGACAGATGTGAAAAGAGTATAATTGGGGTTTTAAAATCTACCTTCTCACCCTCCCACCCCCAACCTTCCACTCCAACTGAGAACAGAAGAAAAACAAAATCCATTTCAAACATGTAGAGTCAATCAAAATAAATTTCCCTTTTGTCCAAGCCCCAAAATAAAACATTTGTCTCATTCTTCCCCCTGAGTCCTTCACCTCTCTATCAGCAGGTAGGTAGCATGTTTCATCATTAGTCCTCCGGAATTGTAGTTAATCATTATGCCGATCAGAATTTCCAATTCTTTCAAAGTTGTCATATCATCCATTCCTAATCCCAACACAGAACTTGGGACCTGGGGCATTGAGATGGCTCTGGGAATCCAAGTAAGACAGCTAGAGAGATTTCCCAATCCACTTGCTCGAGGAAGTTGTGGTGAGATGGAGGGCTGTTAGACCATCAGCAGAACTGGGAGACCTGGGTTCAAATCCCACCCCTGACACTACCCTGGGAAACTCCTTTGACTTTCTTGACTCTATGGGCCTTTGTTTCCTCATCTGTAAAATAAAGGGGTTGTATACAAAAATTTCCCTTTCTAGGCTTGCATCTATGATCCTAGGACTGTCAAGCAGAAAGAGACACTTGGATGTCTAGACGTCTTCCCATGGAAAGTTTAGGTGTTTAAAGCAACTTTGCAAGCATGAGAGGGGGAAGACATGACTAGACAGAAGTTTGTTGGAAAAAGATCTGGGAGTTCTAACGGACTGCTAGCTCAATACGAGTCAACAGGGTGATACTGGCAGAAAGGAAAGCTAGGAGACTGCATTAAAGCCAGGTGGTGAAAGGTCTCAAATACATTCCATGCGCCATATGAGCATTTGGTTCCAAAGGAGCTTGGAGAAAAGGAGACTGGGGGTGGGGTGGGGAATGTGGTAGGTCTCTTCAAACATTCGAAGGCCTATCATGTGGAAGAGATGTGTTCCATTGCCCCAGAGACAAAGCCAAGATATAAGTTCCCCACTCATAATAATAGCTAGCACTGATGTAGTCTGCAAAGAGCTTTCCACTTATCTCATCTTTTCTTCACAACAGCACCGTGAAGTAGGAGTTATCATTATGCCCATTTTACAGTTGAGGAAACTGAACTAAGCAGGTAAAGTGACTCACCCAGGGTCCTATAGCTTGTATATGTCTGAAGAAAGATTTGAACTTAATTCTCCCTGCCTCCAAACCCAGCACAGCACCATCTAACAGACTGTATTTACTACAACCCTACTTGGTACCCTTATCATCTCTCACCTGAAGTACTGCAATAATTGCCTAAATGGTCTCCCTGCCTCATCTCCCCTCTCCCCCCTCCAATTCAACCTCCCTCCGCTCAGCTGCCAAGGTGATTTTCCTAAAATCAGGTTTTTCGAATCTTCCTTCTCGAAAAACTTAATTGGCTCCCTGTTACCTCCGGGATCAAATAAATAAGTCAAACAAATCCTCTGTGTCATTTAGAGCTCTTCATAACTTGGCTCCTTCCAACTTTTTCCGACTTATGCCTGGCTCCCTACCATGAACTCCAGGAATCATCTACCCTGACCTCGTTGAAATTCCTTGAACACAACTCTCTATCTCTCGCCTTGGCACTCACTGTCCCCCACACTTGGGAGGGACAGCTGCCCCCTCACTTCCAGCTCTTAGCTTCCCAGACTCCTTCAAGGCTCAGCTCCAATCCCACCTTCTGCAGGACCCCTTTCCAGGACCGCCAGCCACTACTGCCTTTCCCATTCAGATTTCTTTCCATCTACTCTGGATAGATCTTGCTTGTACCTAATTATTGCCAATTGTCTCCCCCTCCCCCATTTGAATGTATGCTCCTTGGGGCAGAGGCTGTTTTGTGCCTTTCTTTTAAATCCCCAGCACTAGCACAGGACCTGGCACACAGAAGAAATTGGATTTGGAAGGATTTTTCACCTTCCACATCAGGATGTTTGAGAAGGATGAGGAATCCGTAGCGAAGAGTGAAGCTCACGGTCTCTGTTCTTGCGAAGAACAGATTCACTGCTGTCTTAGAAAGAGTCTGAGCATTGAAGTGACTCTGGGAGTTGTTCTTTTCCTGAAGGAGGGAAATATGAATCAGACACAGGTTGAACTTGGAGAAAGGGGGCTTAGAATCAAGCAGTGGGCTCTGCGTTAAGGTGCGGAGCTTTGTTTTTAGGGATCTTTCTCTAGGAGGTGTGATCTGAGTTTGGGGGTCCTATCTCTATGGGGCATTATGCACCCCCTGGATGTGGACCTGGTCTCCAGTAGCTGAGCAATAATAGGGCAAACCTTGTTTCTCTAGGGGCTCCTCCCTGTGTACGTGGGGAAAGGGCCTCCCGGGGGGTCTAAATTGCTCTGTCTTTCATGTATTGCTTGCTCCATTTTGAGCAGGAAACAGTCGATGTAGACCCGGGGATTGGCTGGGTCCAGGGAGTTCCGATTTTTAGCCACACGGTTATTGACAAAGGCCTCTAGCTTCAGGTAGCTGTGGAAAATCTGCCGGTGTGGCCCTGGGAGTAGACCCATGATCTTTGGAAACATGAAGAGGAGTTGTGGGGTGCCAAAAGAAGTGGGTGTAAGGAGGTAAAGGAAGGTCAGAGAGTTGGCAGGAGAGCAAGAGGGAAGATAGCATAATAACTCCTACTTCACAGTGCTATTGTGAAGAAAAGATGAGATAAGTGGAAAACTCTTTGCAGACTACATCAGTGCTAGCTATTATTATGAGTGGGGAACTTATATCTTGGCTTTGTCTCTGGGGCAATGGAACACATTTCTCCCATATGATAGGTAGGGAAGAAAGAGGAAGTTGTGAGGAAGGCTCTCAATCCCAGAGAGCTGGGGCCTTGAAGGACAGTCATCAGGCTCCCTTAAGGCCTTGTCTCTATTCCCTGTGATAAGGGTTTGGAGGACACAAGTCAAGGAAGTGATCGGACAGTCCAATCTGTTTTCTCTACTATTTAACAAAGCAGATAATTTCCCAGTAGGTGACTTTAGTATTATTATTTTTTTGGCAAGGCAATTGCCTCATTGAAAAGATGATAACATGTAGCTAAATCCAAATTTATTGGGATGAAATTTTGGGGTGCAGTCAGACCAGTCTTGGTTTGATGTCAAGATACAAGCACAGTTACTGAGATGGGCCCCAAGCACTTCCAACCAGAGCAGTTCCACTTGGCTTGTGACAGTATGTGGATTTGGGCTGGCTGTTCATCCACCTTGTATAAGGGCCAACTTACAAGCTGGGAGACAAGGCAGGAAGAGAATCCTGAAGAGGATAGCATCTCATATCTGCGAGAAGACATGGCCTTCTGATGCCCTCATCAGTTTTCCCTGATTCTAGCATTTATCCCGAGAAGGGATAAGGAGGGATTGCATTTCCATTTATAAAGTAATTCTGTTTTCAGAGAACTGGACCCTCTGGTGTTGAAGGAGACATTCTTATCTTCCCAATGGCCCGGGGAAGTGGAGAGGATTCTCCAAATGGTACTCTTAGCTAACTTTTGCGAGATGTTCCAGGATACTTGTTCTGATATACTTTTAAGGTCCCCCCTGCAATATTCCAAACTGCCTCCAACCAGTCAACAAACAGGATTAGGACCCGGTTTTTCCAGAAAGTAAAAGGAGAGGATTATTTAGGGAGTAGGTGACATGTTCTATAGTCTGAAACCAAGGAAAGAAAGATTGGCAAAAGACAAGGTCAGCAAAAATGCAAGAAAAAAAAGGAAAGTTTGAGCAATTTTTTTTAAACCTTTGTTATTCTTTGAAACCTTTGATTCCCATTCCCTCAGGCTCGTGGGCTTTATGTACTTTAAGCTGCATAGAAAATGATGGATAAACAATCTACACAGGCCTTGGCATGCTTTAAGAATTATGAATATGAGGCCACTCACATCTGTGAGACAGCTGGGAGGTAAAGTAAGCTCTATTACATTATGTGACTGGAAGGGAGAAGAAAGGGAGTGGTGAAGGGGCACAGGAGCTTCAGAGAGAAGGCTCTCACCCCCAGAAACTGGGACCTGGCAGGCACAACCAAGGGACTTGCACTGGCAGTGTCTCTGCTCCCCAACTTACTTGTCCCCAGAAGTAGCTCATGATTCTCCAGTTGCCATTGATCAGGGCCATTAGCTCCAGGAATTTAGGGTCATCATAGGCCAAGTGCTCCCCAAAGACCAATGAAGAGATGATGTTGGAGCCCGCACAGCTTAAGAAGAAGGTGGCGTCAAAGGGGGCCCCTTTTTGGAAGAAGAATTTCCAGGGATCAAGGAAAGTTTTATGGTAATTGGTGATCTCTAAGCACTTAAGTACCCTTTCCCTCCGGGGTCTTCTAATCACCCATTGATTTCTCCTTCTGAGGACTCTAAGTACTTCATAGCCCTTCCTAGGGATAGAGATAGCAGTAGAACATAGTCTTAGTGAGTTTCTTGGGGATGCTGAGAAGTCAGATAACTTAACTATGGTCACACAGCTAGCACAGTGTTGGAGGTCAGACTGGATTCCAGGACGCCTAGACTCCAAAGCAGGCCTCTACCCACCATGCCATAGGGCCTTTTGTCTTACTGTACATAGTAGATAGCAAGTGAACATCAGAAGACTCGGGTTTGCCTCTGACACATCATTGCTAGACTGTGAAGGTGGCATCCTGCTTTGCTGAAGGGAATTTCCTCATCTGGGAATCCCCCTATCCCTATTTTTTTTTGTTCAGTCATTTTTCAGTTTGTCTGACTTTGTGACCCCCATTTGGGGTTTTCTTGACAAAGATACTGGTTTGCCATTTCCTTCTCCAGCTCATTTCACAGATGAGAAAACTGAGGCAAACAGGGTGAAGTGACTTGCCCAGGGTCACATAGGTCTGAGATCAGATTTGAACTCAGAAGGATGAGTCTTCCCTTTAGGCCCAGCACTCCATCCACTTTGTCACCTGGCTGCCCCTATCCTATAGTAGTAGGCTTTTAATCATTGTTGTATTGAATGGCATTGCATGTGGTTTGATGGAAAGTGGGTTGGTTTGGAGTCAGAGTCCTGCCTGGCTCTGACATTTGTAGCAAGGAGGGCCTTGGAGCAAATCACCTCATCTCTCTTGTACCTGTGATCCTTCATCTATAAAACCAGGGGTTTGGATTAGATGGCCTTTGAGGGTCCTTTCAGCCCTAAATCCATAATTTGACAATTCTAATGGCTCTTGCCTCTCTTGAGAGGGATTGCTAAGCACCCATGTGCCCCCTTTCAGGGGATCTCGAGGCTGGCTCTCACCCCCTGTCTTCTGGAACTCTTCACACAGGCGTTGAGCTTCTTCATGGATTCTCTCCTCTAGGTTGCGCTTCCCCATGCCAAAATTCTACAGGGTGGAGATGGCGAATCTTCGGAGCTGCCTCCACCATTCTCTGTTTCCATACACAATCCCTAAGGGGATAGACAGAGAGGCCCAGCTCCATTTCTACCTCCAGTCCTCCCTCTGCCTCTCTGAACCTGGAGACCTCCACAGAGCCAGGACTAGGAGGGGGAGAATGAGAGTTCTGGCCCAGGACAGCGGAACGTGGAAGGTGCTGCCAACAATCGAGCATGCAGATGGCAAGAATAATTCGCACCTCCTGTGAGGTCTTTGCTGGCCTGGCCCCACCCTGTTCTCTCCAAAGCAGGTGCCCATCACCTCTGTTGTCCCCATAACCGAGTCTGTGGTCTCTCTCCTCACAGGGTCTTCTGTTCCACAGTGTCCCTCTCTCTTCCTTTCCAGATTTGTTTTTGCCCTCAATGTGTTTTGTTGCCCTCTGGACACAAAAATTGCAAGTTAGACCTTTAGGTCATTCCCCTCACCTGTTCCAGGAAATCTTTTTGCCTGAGTCCCAGTGACCTTTCTTTGCCTCAAACCCCCATTCCAGCAATGGGATCTCTTCCAACCTGGAGGGGTTCTCAGTCAGTTCCCTTTATGGAGGGGAGGGCCTCATTTCTCCAGCCAGATGAGAAGCTTCCTTGCTGAGGATCCATCTTGGGGCTGCCTCTACTCTGGCCATCAGAAGCTTTCCCTGGGCCGGGCATTGTGGAGGATGAGGGGCGGTCCATTGATGGCTTATTTTTCCCTAATGGGGATCTCTAAGTATCTTAGTTTAGACTTTCTCACCCACCCAAACAACTGACTCACCACCCCCATGGAACTCTCCACGGCCCCCAAACTCCTCAGCCCGGTCAATGAGTGTCTCCTTCAGGGCCTGGTACCCAGCAGTCACCACACATGGGCGGGAGCCCAGATGGAAAGTGTAGATGGGGCCATATTTGATGCTGAGCTGTTCGGGAGAGAAAGATATGTTTCAGATATGCTCTCCTCTCTTCTTTCAATCCCGGCTCAGACTTCCCCCAGCCCTTCAAAGTCTAGTCAAAGAGGAGAGGGCTCTTACACTCTAAATATACATATGCTGATTTTTAAAAAAAATTGACCTGAACCTGTGGTTGCATTAGTGTTTGGAACTCCCTCCATCGAAGGTTGATAGCTGTTCTGCAGTTTATAATGTTAGGGAGATGCCTAGAGACCCTGAGAAGCTAAATAACTTACTTAGGGTAACAGAGCCATTATGCGTCTGGGATGGGACTTGAACCCAGGTCTTCTTCATTCCAAGGTCTAAATCTCATCCTTAGAGTTTCTTAAATCATGAATTTAGCGTCATCCTTGGTTCTTCCCTTTTCCTCACTCCTTACACCCAATCGGTTGTCAAGTACTGCCAATTCTACCTCTCCAACATCTCTGGCTTCTGTTCCCTTTTCTCCATTCACAAACCACTGATCTAGTTTAATTCTTGCTCAGCTGGACTATTGCAATGATCCTCTAACTGGCCGCCATGTCTCTAGTTCCTCCTCTTTCTAATTCACCTTCTATATAACTGCCAAAATGGTTTCTGGCTTTGTTGTAGATCTGACCATGATAATACTCTCTCTCTCTCTCTCTCTCTCTCTCTCTCTCTCTCTCTCTCTCTCTCTCTCTCTCTCTCTCTCTCTCTCTCTGATTTTGAATTCATTTATTTCTTTTCATGTTATCTTTCTCCATAGAATATAAGCTATCTGAGACAGAGGTCCGATTTTCTTTTTCCTTTGTGTCTTCCTCCCCACTAGCACAGTGCTTGGCACAATGTAGGTGCTCGCTGATGCCTCTCTCTCCACCCCCTCAAAAAGTCTTAATGCCTCTCTGTGACTTCTACGATAAAATTTTAAATCCTTAAGGCTGGTCATAAAGCCTGCCACAAGTAGACTTCTGCCAGCAACTCCAGTCTAATTTCCTATTACTCCGCTTCCTACATTCTCCATTCTAGTCCATCAAGTCTACATTCCCCTTCTGACCTTTGCATCTTTGACTAGACTGTCCTTCCTGCCTGCAATGCCCTCCCTCTTCACCTTCAGCTCTTAGAACCCTTGGCTTCCTTCAGAGCAAAGCTCAGGTGCTACTGCCTTCACAAGGCATTTCCTGACTCTTCCCTAATAGTTATCAATTTCTCCCTCTTGAAATGAGTTTGTATATAGTCTGTCTGACTGACTCTACAATGAGTCCAACATTAGCTGCTATGGGTGCTAAGCAAACTGAACTGTGCACTTTGTAGAACACCTAGGTCTGTAGTGATCGGTCTGGAAATCTGCCTGGGTTAGGGAGAATGAATGAATGAATAAGTGAATGAATGAATGAAGATGAGAACCTACAGGCTCACAGTCATGGGGCAAATGTTTTAATATGCATTATTTTATTGCCTTTATTAATTCCATGCTAAGAATCAACTGCCATATGTAGATAGTAACAAAGTATTCCGGTCAATTCCAGTGGGGAGTTAGCCTCATTATGCCACAGTCACATGACTTGTGCTTTGTAAAATATTCACAATAGTCAGTCAATAAGCATTTATTAAGTGCTTGCTTTGTGCTAGGTGCTGGGGATATAATGACAAAAACTACTTAGTCCCTGCCCTCAAGGAACTTACTTTCTATTGGAAGGGAAAACACAGTACAGAAAAAGTTAAATACAAATTAACACAAAGAAATTTGCAAAAGAAAGGCACTGGTAACCAGGTGGAAGGGCAGGTTATAGGAGGTGATACTGGAGCCGAGCTTTGAAGGAAGTTAGACTCATTTGTTTAAAAATTAATCAACTACTTTTGACAAGCACTTATTATTTGTCCCTCACCAGTGTAGAACAATAAAATGAACAAATGTGCATAATTTGCCCCCCCAATCCCTACTTTAGCTATGTCCAAAAATGTATGCCATACTACATTAAATACATTACCTCCATGCCAGGATGGAATGGCATGTTTTGTCTTTAGTTCTCTGGACTCATGATTCCTCACTACACAACTCAAGAGTTCTAAAGTCTTTCAAATTCTTTTGTTTGTTTGTTTCCCCCTTTTTATAATGCTATTGTCATTGTACAAATTGTTTTCCTAGTTCTGAAAGCCAAGAGATATTAAGGAGAAGGTGGGGTAGCATGGAGATGATTCTGATTAGGTAAATCCACACTAATTATGTCCTTTAGACTTAGCCAATCAGTGCAGTCACCCATAAAGAATTGGAGATGGGGGATAGAATATCATCTACTCTCTGAGAACCACAGGAAGCTTGTCACTTCCCTAACATGCCCCAGCCTCACCCTACTCTGCCCAAGCAGGGCATAGAACCATAAATATTGGGATTAGCATAGAATTAGTTCAACATTTGAGCCTTCTCATTGAACTAGATCAAGTTACTGGTTAGCAGTGCCATCTAGTGGTTAAATTTGTACGACCTTGAGTACAATGGATGATTGTTTAATAAATGCACTTTGTCTGTTGAATTGCTTTAGGACCTTAGTCCACAGAAACTTTTAAAGACTATTTCAAGGGACTCAGGAAGACAGTAAAGACTGAATTGAATCTTGTCCAGGGATGGTGGTGATAGCGGTGTGTTTCTGCCCCAAAGATCCATGTCAGTCTTTCCATGCTCCTCCGTATTCATCATGTTTGTTGTTTCTTACAGCACTGTCATGTTCCATTGAATCCAGGTAGCACACTTTGCTTAGCCATTCCCTGACTGTTGGGCAGGCCGCTAGGTGGTGAAGTAGATAAGAGAGGAGGACCTGAGCTCAAATCTGGCCCTAGACACTTCCTATCTGTGTGACCCTGGGCAAGTCACTTAACCCTGCTTGCCTCAGTTTTTGCATCTGTAAAATGAGCTGGAGGAGGAAATGGCAAACCACTGCAGTATCTTTGCCAAGAAAACCCCAAATGGGGTCACAGAGAGTCGGACACAACTGAAATAACTAAACAACAACAATTGATGGACATCTACTCTGTTTCCACTGAGTTGCTGCCACAAAAGTGCTGCTATCAATATTTTGTTCTATGAAGGGATTTTCTTTTTATCACTGACTCTCTTGGGGAAGTCATTCCAGTAGTGGAATGTCTGGGTCAAAGGATTTAGACATTTTAATCACTTTGTCTCTGAAGTCAGAGGAGTTGAGTTCAAACACTAATTCTGACTTATTGGACAAGTTACTCAACCTTCCTGTGACTCAGTTTACTCATCTATAAAATGAGGGGTTTGAATGGGAAGAAGTTCAAGGTCTCCTCCAGCTGTGAACCTATGACCTCTAGGAAGTGAGAACTCAAAACTTCTTGAGTTAGCTCATTTTCATTTTGGATAGTTTCTAATTGTTGGGGAAATTTCCCAAAACATCAAGTTTAAATTAATTTCTTCACAGCTTCTGCCTATTTGGCTTTCAGTTCTGGGGCCAAATAGAAGGAATCTAATCCCTCTTCCACCAGTCAGTCCTTCAAATGTTTGAAAATTGCTATTGTATTTCACACACACATACCTTCTTCCCCATGTTATTTTCTTTGGGCTAAATACCCTCAGTTCCTTCAACTAATTCTCATTTGGCCTGATCTCAGGCCCTTCCCAGTCTTTCATGGAATGTGGCCCCCAAGCTCACCTGCTTCAGAGACTTCAGCAGGTCTACCACATCCACCCCAAGAATGTTTCCCAGGAAGGGCCAAGGGGCTGGGCCAGGGGGCAGCCCAGAGAACTTGTGATGCCAGATGCTGAGCAGAAGGTAGGCTGTGATGATCAGGCCCAGCACTGGCCTCAGACCCCCACCCACTTCCATTGCTGGGGAACTCTGGCTTGGGCACTGTCCTTGTATGCCCTGGCCTGGCCCTTTATTTGTCCTAACCTCTCGCATCAGGGTTGGGTAGGTGCACAAGTCAGCCAACTCCTGCCGGGGTCTGGGGATGGCCCAGCCAGATTCTGATCCACTAGTGTGCTTTCTACTACTACTTCTTTTGTGTGATTGTATGCATGTTCCCCAGGATGAGGGACTCCTATATCTCCCCTTAGTTGCCCAATCTCAGATCTGCTTCACCCCGTCTTCTTGCTGTTTCTGCCTATGACTGTTGGAGGTCTGTCTCCTCTCCCTCCCTCTGCATCCTGCCCTAGATTCTCTGCCTTCTCGAGCGTTAGCTCCAGAGCTGAAAGTATTGATTGATTCTTGGTTAGACTACTCTTTAAAAGAAAAACAAACTACATGAAGAGATAAAGATTCTTGCACTGCGGGAGGTTGTGGGGGTCTGTTAGCACCTACGTGGTGCTGAGCTGGGGTCCTAGTGGTGCTGTCTGGCATGTGCTAAGCCCCAGGGGGGTGTTTCTGCATTTCTCTGGGGCTTAGCCTATGGAAGTCTGGTCAATGAAGGATGCTGGTTTGCCTGGGGCTACGTAGTGGCTCTCGGGAGCCGGAGCCGGTTCCCCTGGCTATGCTAAGGCATGTAGAGGGTCCTGGTGTTGGTGTTTGCCTCTTCCACCACACTGGGGCTCAGCATCTCATACTGGTTTGCTGAGGTGAGGCTTGCTGCTGGCTTGCTGGGATGCTTCCTGTCCTGTACTGCACTCCCCTTTACCCAAGTGAGATGGACTTTTATTGCTGATCTCCCAAGTTTCTTGGGCTAAAAGATTGTTTCACTCAGCTTTTTGCTGGTTCTGCTGCTCCAGGATTTGTTTTGGGGTGCTATTTTATGGTTGTTTGGAGGTGAATATGGGAGAGTTATTAGCAATATACTGCTTATTCCACCATCTTGGCTCTTGGAAGAGGAAAACAAGAAATAATGATTCTTAAGAGTCAGGATACTTATCTGATGATGCCATGTGAACAGGATGATCCAGGAATGCTCCTCCATAGTTAGCAGTTTTAATGGGACAGCTTTACTGTGTCTTAAGTAGGGGGCATGGGATAGGCTCATCTGTATACAGGCAGTGTTTTGAGTTTTCAGTCTGGCTGGAAGTGGGAGGGATGACAGGATACCTTCGTAAGGCCCATTTTGAACATGATAATTGTGCCATGTGGTTAGTAAATTTATACTCTCTTCCCCCAATTAATCTTCTTAGGTCCTGGAGACCATCTATCATCCCATACTTTCATAGACGCTCCATCTCTAGACCCTGGGCATTCTCTCTGGCCATCCTCCATGTCTGGAACACTCTCTCCCTTCCGTTGTGACTACTGACCCCCCTGGCTTCCTTTAAGTCCCAACTAAAATCCCATTCCCTACAGGAAGTTTCCTTAGCCCCTTTTAATTCCTGTGCTTTTCCTCTGTTAATTACTTCCTATTATCCTGTGCATAGCTTGCTTTGTCTATATTTGTATGTCCCCACTTCTTAGATTGTAAGCTCCTTGAAGGCAGGGGTTGTCTTTTGCCTTTTTTTTTTTTGTATCCCTAGCACTTAGTGCCTGGCATGTAGTAGGCACTTAATAAATGTTTCTTGGTTGATTGATTGAAAATCTAATTTTACAAGATGTACCACACCCCCTAGGATTCTGAAAACACACCGCTTGGCCAGGGTCACCCTGGAGAACCAGTGGTGCCTCAGGCTGAGCAGAAGGTAGGAAGCAAAGGCTAAGCCCTGTGCCAGCCCAAGGCCCTTTGCCAGGCAGCTCTGACTCTCACTGACCCTATATACCCTGGCCTGGTCCTATTACATCAAGCTTGGGGAGGTACTGGTCAAACTACCCTGACCTTGGCCCTGAGCATGGCCCAGTCAGATTCAAACCCATCCTAGTATGCAGAAGTGGTTTCCATGAAGAGAAAAATGAATAACTTTTGACAGAAAAACTTTTGACAGACTCTATAGGGATAGAGTCATTTGGACAATTCCTCAGAATACTTGCTAAGTGAGAAGTTAATTAGTTCACAGCTGTATGTAGCTTAAGGCTTTGTTTTAAGCTGTTGAGCAGTTTTTTTTAAAGTTTCATGTTTATGATTCTCATCACATTCAACTCCAAATGAAAACATTGGCTTCACAAGAAGCATGCCACTGTTTCACTGTGTGCAGACAGAAGTTACCTTCCCATGCATGGGGAGGCTGCATCATCTGTTAAGGTTTCAGGGTCTGTCTTACAAGTTTAAGAACATTTGGGGCAGCTAGGTGGTGCAGTGGATAGAGCACTGACCCTGGAGTCAGGAGGACCTGAGTTCACATCCAGTCTCAGACAAGACACTTGACACTTGCTAGCTGTGTGACCCTGGGCGAGTCACTTAACCCCAATTGCCTCACAAAAAAAAAAAAGATTTTAAGAACATTCAAGGAAGGACTGGGAAGGGCCTGAGATCAGGCCAGATGAGAATTAGTTGAAGGAACTGTGAGTGTTTAGCTTGGAGAAAAGAAGATTAGGGAGAGGGGGAAAATATCCCAATCCTACTTTAAGGGAAAATCTGACTTAAGTTTTGTTGTGGAAATCCTTCAGTATTTTAGTGAGCCTCTGGGTTCAGGCTCACTGTGCTATTATTCTGGAGTCCTTCCATCTTGGGGCATAACAGGCAGAGTGCCTTGTCCTCATGACTTCCTCTGGCCTAGTTTCCAGGGGATAATCACCAGCAGCAGGATTTGTGAGATCACTTACTACCCCTTCCGCTATCTCAGTCTCATCCTCTGCATGGCTTAGTATCAGCCTTTGCTTCATGTTTGTACATCTCCTGGGAACTCTGAGCCATAGGTGAATGGAGTGATCACAGCTGCTAATCTGGGATGCCTTTCCCAATCATTAGAATCTTTTGCTTAGGCTGTACCCCAATGGGGGGGATTGTGACAATGAGAGTCTCATATAATGCCTGAGCTGTGGTTACTCCAGCAAGATTGAGTTACAGAAATAGAGAGTTGGATATCTGCTCTATTTCTCTGAACTAACAGGATTTCTTTGAACCCTGAATGTTATGAAAATTTCTTCTTTTCCCTGCAGGCAGTTCCCTAATAAGCAGCCTTCCTCCACTCCTTCTTTCATTTGACTTGCCTGTTCCCCTACATATTGCGCAAGAAATTGTTAGTAATTAGTAATTGTAGATCCTTGGAGGATTCCACATAGCCTTTGAGTTGAACCTCTCACAAAAGGACCTGGATTTGCAGTTCCCATCCCTATGTCACTGCAGTAATGGCACTGCTGAACTTTGGTGCCATCATCCAAATCATTAAATACAGATTGGAAACTCTTTGATGTCAATCCCATGATGGACTCCTTAGGCTGATGGAATACATCCTGGATGTCATACGTCAAATGTGGACCTGGAAAGCTCCTCTGGGTCAACAGTGATACTGCCTTGCCAAGAGCTCTGTCTGGAACTTCCCACTTCAGAGTCAAAATCTGCTGACCAGTAAGTACTTTATTTGCTTCACTTCATCACTTAATAAATAGCTCCTAGGCTTTTGCCAATTAAGAATAGGTCGTTAGCCTTGGGGTCATCCATATTCATGTCAGGATGGTCTTCCTGGGGAAGCTGGTAATAGGCTTTCTTGATCTCTGTCAGCTGGGGGGAGCAGTTAGAGGCACTCTCAATATCTGGTAATAATTGTTTTTGGCTGAGGAAAGGGCAGTTGTTGAAATGAAGGCTGCTAGTGGATAGAGCATTGAACCTGGAGTCAGGAAGACCTGAGTTCAAAATCTCACCTCAGCTACTTACTAGCTATGTGATCAGGGCCCCTTAACCTGTATCTGCCTCAGTTTCCTCAACTATGAAATAAGCATATTAGCAGCACTTAGCTCGCAGGGTTGTTGTGAGGATCAAGTGAGATAATATTTGGGCTTAGCACAGTGCCTGGCACATAGAAGGGGCTTAATAAATGCTTCTTTCCTTCTTTACTTCCTAGAGAGGAAAAGAAGGTCTTAAGAGCTGAGCTGGAAGTGATCCTGGCCATGTCAGCCTCTTGGGAGATGGTCCAGGTGCCATGTCTTTTCCAGAGGACTCCCTCAGAATTTTAAATTCTAATTTTTAATTTTTTAATTTAATTTAAATTTTTAATTTTAAAACTGGAAGGGACACCAGAAGTTACCTAATCTAATTGTGCCTGAACAAGAAAGCTCCCTACCCCATCCCAACCCAGGGCCACTTAGCCTTTTCTTGAACACTTGTACTGAAATGACCACTCTGATCCTTAGAAAGATTTTCCTCATGCCAAGCCTAAATTTGCCTCCCTATTTGTCACTTCCACCCGTTGGTCCAAGGGGTGCCAAGTGGCAGCCCCCTAAATACTTGGATCAGTGCTCTGCCCCAAGAGGGCCTGGAAGCAAATCCCGGCTCATCTCTTACCTCCCATGTGACTCTAGTTAAGTCACTTTACTACTCTCCGTCTCAATTTCGCCATCTACAAAATTAGTGGGTTGTGCTAGCATGCTAGCATGGGGTCCATGAGGAAATTTCAAGGAGTCTATATATCTATTCTTAAAAATATATTTTTATATGGAATTCAATATAATTGGTCTCTTTTGTAATTCTATGTATTTTATGCATTTAAAACATGATTTGTGAAGGGGTCTATAGGCTTCACCACATTGTCCGAGGAATCCAGGACATAAAATTGGCCTAGGTGACCTCATAATTGCCTTTCACCTCTAGATCTACGGGCATAAAAATTACCGTGGTCCCCCTGTCCCTTCTCTGCTCCAAGCTAAGTATCCCCCACTCCTTCATTGCCTCCAATCTCCTCACCACTCCCACCACCCTCTCCAGCCTAGCAATGTCTTTTATAATTGGGAGACCCTTTTGTATGACTTGTTATCTCCCCATGGAGGCTGTGGACATACCCATTGACAGACAACCTAGTTGAGAGGACTGGGAACTTCCATGGGGCCCTGCCAGTAATATCTTAGTCTGGCTATGCTTGGTGTGAATCAGAGCTCTCACTCCTTTGTGCTGAGACCCTATAAAAAAGGTTTTTGTCACAGATTTGCCTCCTCTCTTTTCTATTTTCTGAGCAGAGAACAGTAGAGCTAAGAACTGACATAGGTCTGTATGGGAGGGGGAGTGGAATGTGGGGGAGAATCCTGTTCTATGAAGAAGCTGCCTTTGGACAGAGATATCCTTCATCTTGTATATTGCTTGTCTGTACAAATTTGTTTGCATATTGTCTACCCCATCAGATAGTAAACTCCTTGAGAGTTGAGATCGGGGTCTATTTTTTGCCTCTTTTTGTATCCCCAGTGCTTAGCACAGTGCCTGCCACATGGTAGGCACTTAATAAATATTGATTGACTGACTGACTGAGGTACATGGCAGTTGCATATGCTTTCACATCCAGACATGGCAGCCTGGGAGAGGGGACCGCCATGATAAGGTAGAGTTACTCAGCCCTATAGAGAGAGGAGAGTGAATTCAGCCCTATAGAGAGAGAAGAGGAGATTCTGAACACCACTGGGAACTCTTTACCAATGTGTAGTTTGAGAGAGCTAAGATCTACCCTTCTAGAGGGAGGAGAGAGAATATCTTGTAGCCTCTTGGAGAGGAGAGGATCACTCTGGTAGCCCCAGGAGCTGCAAGAGCAGGAAGGGACAAAGCCACAACATGGAGGCTGGACGTTAACCTCTGCTATTCCTGCAGTTCAGCCAGCACAAGACTTTTCTCACAACTTCAAGCTCATTTTTATTCTAGGATGAATCTAAGCCCTTAAGGTAATTCCATAAGGCTAGAGGCCTATAAATACCTTTGGGGTACAATCAGGACTCACTGGAATGCTGGGAGGAATCATTGCTCAAAGGATACCAAGTTCATTTCCCTTTCAAGGGAAGTCCTAACCACAAGGTAGTGCTATAAGCCTGGAGGATTCTGAGGAGGCAGGTAGGACTTATTAGACAGGACGAAAAGTTGTCTTGATTATTTAGGGGCTAATGTGAATCATTTCTGGTTTCTGTATATGATGTGGGGTGAAATAAATGCTGTCTTATACTGGCTATGTAGTTTTACCTTGAGTGCTTGTATAGGGTCTGGGAGGGGCCTATCTCCAGTTGTCCTGATCTGTATCATGCCTCTGGAATGAGATGGTGCCAGAGGAGAAAGTGAGGCTGGTGACCTTGCACAGCCCTCCCTCACTTAAATCCAATTCACTTGCAAGTCATGGCTTCATCTTCCTGATATCATGGTCCTTTTTGAGAATGAAGGACAAATAACAATAGGAACTGGGAACCTTTTACCCACATTTATAAGCTCAGTAGATACTATTGTGTGTGATTTCCAAAAGAAACTCTTGTTCACTCGTGTCTGACTGTGACCTCATTTGGGATTTTCTTGGCAAGTATACCAGAATGGTTTGTCATTTCCTTCTCCAGTTCATTTTACAGATAAGGAAACTGAGGCAAACAGGGTGAAATGACTTACTCAGGGTCACACATCTAGGAAGTTTCTGAGGCCAGATTCAAACTTGGGAAGATGAGCCTTCCTGACTCCAGCCCTGGCACTCCATTCACTTTGCCACCTGGTTGCCTCATCCCTGTGGTGCCCCATTCCCAAATGGAATAATTATTTGTTGTGTTGAATGTTGTATTGCATGTGGTTTGATGGAAAGTGGATTTGGTTTGGAGTCAGAGTCCCTGGGTTCAAATGCACTGCTCTCACTAAAGAAATCCTAGTTGGGGGCAAAATGGATATTTTTAAATCTTTTTTATCCCAAGATCAGACTCATTCCATGTAAGTCCAGAGCCCACAATCCTGGGCCACAAATTAGGTTATTAAACTATAGTTCCAAGAAGTAACCATAATGCTGTAGGTGTGTTGACTAGAGCAGAGAACTATCTCCACCCTCATTCTAGACACTCATTGCTAATAAGTCCTAATCAGCTTCTTTGGGGCTTCCTTGACACCTTGCTGACTCATCTGGAGCTTGAACTAGCCCCCTCAGATCCTTTCCACATGAACTGTTTTGTCAACCCTATTCTGTATTCACGGAGCTGATTTTTTAAAACAAAAGTGCAGGACATAAAATTTTGTCCCTATTCAATTTCATCATTGTAGATTCATCCTAACATTTCAGCTGGTCAAGGCTTTTTGAATCCCAACTCTATTATCCAACTGGTTAGCTCTCTATCCCCAATTTGTGTCTTGAACCTGAGACTTGAGAAGGTCTTCATCCAAGTCATTGACAAGCATGTGACAAGAACAGAACCCAAGGGCACTCCAGTGCAGACCTCCTGCCAAGTTGACTTGAACCTATTAATGGTTCTTCTTTGGGTCCAAGCATTCAGGGAGTCACAGGATCACAGATTTAGAACTAGAGGGGACCTGTGAAGTCACTGAATCTAACCCTGTCCTTTTATAGGTGAGGAGGCTGAGGCCCGGAGAGGGGAAGCGACATACCTAGAGTCTGATAGCTAACAAATATTGAAGGGAGATCTTCCTGACTCCAAGCCCTATGCTTGACCCACTGTACCATTCTGTCTCTAACTCAGAGCTGAGTCTACCTGACTGCTCTCTCATTTAGGACACATCTCCTTTACTCATATTTTCCCCTACCTGGAATCATCCCCTCATCCCTCTTGCTGCTGTATACAACCTGACTACCCCCTTTGTTGTTCAGTTGTGTCTGACTCTCCCTGTCCCCATTTGGGGGTTTCTTGGCAAAGATACTGGAGTGGTTTGTCCTTTATTCTCCAGCCCATTTTATAGATGAGGAAAGTGAGGCAAACAGGGTGAAGTGACTTGCCCAGGGTCACACAGCTAGTGTCTGAGGACAGATTTGAACTTAAGAAAATGAAACTTCTGGTCTGGTAGTCTATCCACTATGCCACCTAGCTGCCACCCTTGGCCTTAAGTGAGTCCCTTCCCCTCTCTTAACCTCAATTTTCCTATCTGCATATAGAAGGGATTGGTCATTCTTTGATCCATCAGATGTTTGTTGATAAACATTTATGACCTAAATCTTCCTCCCAAAGGAATCTGTTCCATAATAGGAGAGCTGGAGAGAGACACACAGAGATACAGGAACAGAGACAGAGACATAGTCATGGAGAGACAGACATAGGGAAAGGGAGAGATAGAGAAAGTGACAGAAGCAGAGAAACATTCATGAATAGTGAGACACACGCGCAGAGGAAAGAGCCAGGGGAGACAAAGACAGACCAGAGTGACAGAGGCAGAAAGAAAGAGACAAAGAGAGACAGAAATTGAGGCAGAACTGGCTACAAGTGGGTGGTATGATGCAAGGCAAAACTCTCATTTGTAAGCTAAGAGACTTCCAGTCTCAGTTTTCTTCTTGACTCTCTGCATGACCTGGAACAAATCACTTCACCACAGTCACATTATCTGTAACCTGAAAGGATTGTACTCAATGACTTCTAAGCTGTGTCTCAGCTTCCAGGAGCCAAACAGAGTAACAGAGAGAGATGCCTGGGGGCTCAGACTTTATTAATACATCCTAAGCCACCCCACCCAGGAGTCCTGCAGGCTCCTCCTGCTTCTGCTGTGGCTTTCTGGGCTCAGTCTCAGCTTCTTGGCAGGAATGAGATGGTGTAGCTTCGGGGGATGGTGGCAAAGCCCACCATCTTGGGGGAGATATCGATGGCCTCTTTTGGGATTGGAGACTGGAAGTGAAAGTTCTGCAGGATGGTGGTGAGGAAGATGAACAGCTCCATTCTGGCCAAGCCTTCACCAAAACAGTAGCGTTTGCCTGAGGAGCCAGAGTCAGAGCTAGTCAGGGTGGGGAGGGCCCTTAGAACAGGGACTGTCAGAGCTGGGAGTGGCCTTAGAAGACAGAATATCAGTCCTGGGCTCTCCCAGAGGCTAAGGATCCTTCCTTAGAAGAGAGAATGTCAGAGCAGGGAGCAAACTAGAGGCACAATGGAGAGTTGGCTGCTAGTAAATTAGTCATTGGCTAAATTGCATGACTTTGGATAAGTCACTTTCCCTCTCAACCTCAAAATGAGAGGTTTCGACTCTATTGCCTCTAAAGTCACTTCCAGCCTTAAGTCCATAGTCCCTTTGGACAAAAAAAAAGTGCCAGAACTGGAAGGGACCTTAAAACACAGAAAAGTCATAGTTGGGAGGGATCTTAGGGCATCTCTATTGAGAATGTCAGCATTGGTAGATAACTTAGAAAAAGACAAAGTAGCACAGAACATGTCTGGGTCTTCTGCCACAAAAGACTTCCTCTAGATGGTGCTCATCTGTAGCAAGTAAAGATTCTGGAAACTTCCTACTTCGTCTAATTCTTCTTGCTAATTAGTTGATACGCTTTTTTTGGTTTTGTTTTGTTTTTAAGCACAAATGCTATTAATATCTACTAAATTTTGATTCCCAAAGTCAGTGCCCCATTGCCAACCCCAGGTATGGGTCTATGTAGACCACAGGATATCAGAGGTAGAAGGGCTCTTGCAACTTGCAAAAGAAGAGCTCTTTTCCCTTAACTTCCCTACTCCTCCTCAGCAGATTCCTTTGCCTCCTTTGAAGAGAAAATGCAAACCATCCCTTGTGAGATCCCTCTTCTAACCTATGGAACACTTCAAAAGCTGTCTATACTATCCTCTATTCTCTCATGGCCTGTCAAACTCCTTCTTCCTGTTCCCTTGACCCCATCCCTCCCCATCTCACAGAATTCACCACCTGGATTTCTACATTCTAAACAAATTGTTATATTTGCTGTTGCCTAAATTGGTCATTCAATTTTCATCAAAGAAGCTCCTAAATGGGAGTGCCTCCCAACCCCACCTGCTTTTAGGCTCCGTAATTTCCTCCAAAGTACAGGAAGCCTTTCTGGATTCTCCTAGTGGTCAGTGCTCTCCATTTGTGAATTATCTTGTAATTACTTCTCTTATCCACCTAAACCTGGCCCCTTCTAGTAGAATGTAAACTCCTTGAGGGCTGTTTTTCCTTGTCTTTTACCACCTCCCCCGCACCTCATAATACTTATTGGATTGAATGTTAGAGTGGAGAAGGACCTTAAATGTCATCTAGTCCAATCTCCTCATTTTACAAATGAGGAAACTGAGGCCCAGAGAAGGGAAGGTACTTGATCACAATTACAGGCTCATAGAGTCCTAAGATGATAGATGCTGAGCTGGAAGGGGCCTTGGAATCCCTTGAGTCCCAGGCCTGAATTTCACAGATGAGAGAATTGAGGCCTAGGGAGATGAAATGATTTGTCCAAGGTCACCCAGGTAGGAAGCTTTAGAGATGGGACTTGACCCAGGGCTTCTGACTCCAGGGCCAGGGCTCTTTCTAGTGTATGTGGTTCTTCCTTAAAGGAGGAGGAATACTTGGTGAGATTTGGGGGGGTATGCTTTCTGGGAACCTTAGCCCCACAGCCACAGCCTCTCTGGAACCATCCTACCCACTCACCCACTTACTCTTAAGAAGCTTGGTCAAGTGAAATTGACCTGAGGGGTAGGAGAATGAATTGAGAATAGACTGGAGGAAAGAAAGGGGTCACTGGCTCAGGCCACACTGGTTGGTAGTAGGGATGGGGTGGGTCATAGAGGGGAAGAGAAAAGGCTTTCCTGCTCACCAATGGAGAAGGGGACAAAGGCATCACTCTTCTTGAACTGGCCCTTTTCATCCAGGAAGTGTTGGGGGTTGAAGGCTTCAGGGCAGGCAAAGAAGTTGCGGTCCCTCAGTACTGAACCCAGCATGGGATAAACTTCTGTGCCCTAGAGTTGGGGGTGAGAGAGAACAAGAAAGGAAATGAGAAATGAAGTGGTGAAAGGAGGGCAAGAGGAAGGTAGATAAAGATAGGGAGAAAAAAAGAGATAGGAAGAGAAGCTACGGAAGAGGAGAGAGAGACAGAAGAAGAGAGGGAGGAGGGAAGGGGAGAGAAGAGAGAGAGAGAGAGAGAGAGAGAGAGAGAGAGAGAGAGAGAGAGAGAGAGAGAGAGAGAGAGAGAGAATGAGAATATTTTGCTTCATAGAAGATAATATTATATAGTAGATTGAAAACTAGTGTCAGAGGTAAGAAGACCTGGGTTTAAGTTGTCTCCAACACATCCTGGCTTTGTGACCTAAGCAAGTCACTTAACCTTGGGACTGTAATTTGCAGAGAAAGTACTGATCTCAATCAGCAGAAGGAGTTCCCTACGTCAATGAAATCAGAAGTCCAGACCTTGTTCTCGTATCTTGTATCCAATTATACAGGCACATATTGTTTCTCCTGATAGAATGTAAGCTTCTTGAGGGCAGGGACTGTTTCATCTTTGTCTTTATATTTCAGTCAAATTCCAGTGTCTTGCATATATAATAAGCCCATAATAAATGTTAGTGATTGAATGGTTGATGGACAGAAAAACTTAATAGTAACTGAATTATATTAACAATAATAATGATAATAATAAGTGTAGTGGGAGGGGGTGTTGGTCAGAACACCCCTAATCAGTGGATTTCCCCCTTTCCCAGTTCAGTTGCAACAGAAAGGGCAAGTCACAGAGACAGCAAGGATTTTCACTTTGTTACCCCTTTAAGTGTGAAAATATTGCCTGGATTTTTTTGAGAGGCAGTTTGCCTTTGACTGACAGAACAACTATGCCCTTGGTAGCCTATAAAAATGGATCTTCTCTGTTGTGGGACACATTGGAAACAAGAAGCAGTTTCTAGAAGTTGTGACCTCTGGCAGTGCAGAGGAGAGACAGCAATGAAGAAACAACCTGGTTATTAAGAATCTTTGCTTTTCCAATTGCACCTCTACCAGAGAGTAAAAGACAAGAGAAGGAGGGAGAGAGGGAACATCTTTCTCCTCCCTACAACTCTATTGATTTGCATCAGAACTAATGACTGAGTAGGAGCTGGGAGCAGAGAAGACTACAGCGAATCCTCAAAGGTAGGAGCTGAGTCAAGCTTCAGAGACTAGCCCAGAGAGTCAGTTATGAGACCTCCTCAGTAGATTCTGTACCCAGAAGCATCATGAGGACACCACAAGAAGGGAAAGGACATTGGGGTCCTACAGCCCCAGAGGTGTGAATTATCTTGGCGATGTGTTCTTTAAGCTTGTACATCTCTTCAAGTGTACTCTAATTATATGGCCATTCTTTCCAATTACAGCTGGGTGTAGTTGTGGGAGAGTGTGCCCCAGGTTTATTGGGGAGGGGAATATTTTATCACTACTGTTCTTGTGATATCATTTCAGTACCATTTTTGCTTTGAGCTAATTGTCTACTGGCAGACTATTAAAGGTAAGTGTACCAATGGGGGCTTGTGAGCTCTAGTTTTAGAAATGTGGACTCTCAAAGTATCTTGAACCCTGGGGTATTAGATGCCACTTTGAGACCCAAACTATTAGTTCAAATTGGAGAAGCAGCCCAGATGGGGTGCTAAAAACTAATAAATTATCTCCTTTGAGCCTCACAACCATACGTGCTATTGTCATCCTCATTTTTCAACCACCTGGTGGCTTTTCATTCAGACACCCTTCTTCATTTAAATTTCCTTTGCCATTCTTGCTTCTTTCCAAACTCATAGTTCATTTACACTGATGCCCTTTTAGGTTTATTACCTCCTAGGGGAGGTGCGACTAAGAAAGCTTTTGTTATTATATGCTGAAACTAAGTCTCTTTGGAGACAGGCTAAGTTTGCTATGTAAAAGATGCAATGAACAAAACTTAAAATGTGTCTCATTTGACAACCAATCAGTACAACTTGGAAAACAATATCATTGCTGAGCAACTAATCCTGTTTCAGTTACAAGAAAGACCCTTTTAGGATAAATACAATTCAGGACCACACACATTTTCACTTGACAGCACTGAGGTTCATGCTTTTTTTTTTTGCTAATTCAGAAAATATGACAATTTCAGAATTTTAGAGGCAGCTAGGTGGTGCAATGGGTAGAAAAATGGCCCTCGAGTCAGGAAAACCCAAGTTCAAATCCCACTTCAGACCTTTACAAGCTGTGTAATCTTGGGCAAATAATTAGTCTCAGTCTGCCTCAATTTCCTCATCTGTCATCTTCATCACAAAGTTAATAATAACACCTGCCTTGCAAGGTTGCTGTGAGGATCAAATTAGATATTTGTAAGGTGCTTAGCACAGTGCCTGGAACATAGAAGGCACTTAATAAATAATCGTTCCCTTTCTTCTTTTCAAATGAGGCAATTAAGTCATTGAATTTAAGTATGTAAAATGACTTGAGACGGAGACGCACAGAGAGGAGAGGGAGAGAGAGAGAAAGAAAGGCAGAGAGAGAGAGAGAGAGAGAGAGAGAGAGAGAGAGAGAGAGAGAGAGAGAGAATATGAGTAAGAGAAGTTAATTGAGGGTCCATTAGAGAGAAGTATGGCCTACAAAATTCCAATCTGCAAGAAGGGGAAACTGAGGCAGAGTTCTGAGTATGTATCAGTCCATTAGGGAGACTGGTTGTCCTTAATGAATTGGATACAAAACTCTGCATTCAGGGACCCCTTCTGTTTGAAGGCTGCAAATATTTGTAGGAAATGAGACAACACTAAAAATAGAATGAGGTGGTATACTTCAGTTCCAAAGGGGGAAGTCTAAATGATGGTCAAAGGAAAATGTCTATCAATCGCCAAAGTTAAGTCATTAGGCTTTCCACACATCATCATGTTCAGTCCAAGGGTGGGGAACTTGCAGTCTCTAGGCCACGTGTGTCCTCACCTAGGTCCTCAAGTGCCACCCTTTGACTGAATCCAACTTTCACAGAACAAATACATTTCATAAAAGGATTGTTTTGGACTCAAAGGGCCACACCCAAGGACCTAGAAAGCCACACCCAAGGACCTAGAAGGCCACATGTGGTTCCCCATTAAGCAACAATATTCTGGGACTTTCCACCAGCATATTTTGAACATTAGGTGCAAAATAACAAAGTAATATGGGGAATCTGTTTTCTGGTATACAGCTGCTCTTAGAGTACATGAAATGGGAGATGGGAGAGGTGTAATACAACAAGTCTCAATCCATTCCTAACACGGGTTATTCAGGCCTAAATAATAAACTATAAATTCACATAGTATAAATCAACCAACTAAAAGCAATATAATCATCAATACATAATGAGTTAATTCAGTCCAACCTACAAAATTCTTATGCTAACAATTATACTTAATTCTATCTTATTTATCTTATTTATAGACAATCACTGACACCCATAAATCACAATCAACTGAGAAAATACTGATCAAATTGAGTAAGAATATCAAAATTATTCTCAGAAGAATAGGGAGGATTGGGAATAGGAGGAACACAGATGTATGGATGTTCTAATCTAGGGCATGAAGGAGGTTCCAGGGGGCACAAGGCAGGATAAGGAGACACTTAATGAGAGACAATGGGGGAACTCTCAGATGTCAGGAAGATATAGAAGGATTTAGAGGATGACAGTATGGAGATGGTTCTAGAGTAGGATGGAGGTTTTGGAGCTGGGGGAGCTAAGAGTGAGAGACTCCTACCTTGGGAATAAGGTAGCCCCGGAATTTGGTGTCCTTTGTGACTCTACGGGCCAGACCCATGGGGATCATATCTCCAAATCTTTGGATCTCATGGATGACGGCCTCTGTGTATGGCATCTTAGCTTTGTCCTCAAACTTGGGTGATCGGTTCCGCCCAATCACCCGATCGATTTCCTCATGAATTTTGGCTGTGGTTGGTGGGGGTGAGGAAACAGGATGCAGGAGAGTTAGAGAGATCCTGGGGGAGTCTCAAGAGGGCAGATGGGGTGTGGAGGGTCAGTATACCCTGAAGCTGGGGTGGGGAACCTGCAGCTTGAGGCTACATGTGGCCTTTTAGGTACTTGGGTGCAGCCTTTTGACTGAGTCCAGGTTTTACAGAACAAATCCTTTTATCAAAGGGATGTGTTCTGTGAAGCTTGGATTCCGTCAAAAGGCCTCATGTGAGGAACTAGAGGGGGCCACATGTGGCCTCGAGGCTACAGGTTCACCACCCCTGCATAGTGAGAGGATGCTGGGATGAGGAGTGAAGGGGATAATCCATGTTCCAGGGATAATGATGATGATGATGATGATGATGTGTTTGTGGGCATATGTGTGTCTGTCTGTCTGTAAGATGTTCTGGGCAGCTGTCAGGGCACCAAAGGACTTCTAAGGGGGACTAGGGGAGGGGGGCTCACCTTCCACCTCTGGATGCTTCATTAGGAGAAGGAAGCCATAGCGAAGGGTTGTGCTAACAGTCTCAGTGCCAGCAAAAAATAGGTTTAGGGTGGTCATGGTCAGGTTCCTCATGAAGAATTCTGTGTTGGGATTTTTCTTTTCCTGAGAAAAGAAGATGGACAGGGCTCAGAGCCCCCCACCCCACATACACACACTTTCCTCACCTCTAGACTCTTCAGCCTCAAGGTCTCCTTTCCCCCCATGTCAACTCAATTTCCTTGAGTCCCAGAAATGTGCAGGGGTAGAGGGTGAATCCATCAATGGCACCTGAGTAAGCTGGAAAATCTCAGTTCTAAGGGACCTGAACACATATCTATTCTCCTCAGAATTTAGAGGAATACAGATATAGTGTGGGAAAGGTTCTTAGAAACTGTCAAATCCAACCGCTCTCATCAGGATGTTAAGGAATAGAGAGGTTGGGACCTGTTCAGAGTAACATAGCTAGTAAGTGTCTGAGGTGGGATTTGAACCCAGGAATGCATGACTCCTGAGTCTATAGCCCTACCCACTACAGCATTCTGCCTTGCAGAATCCCAGAATGGTAGAGCTGGAAGAGACCTCAGGAGCCAAAGAAACACCTTAAGCTTCCTGACAAGTGGTGGTCCAGCCTGTGCTTGAAACCTCCAAAGAGGGGGAACCCGACAGTTCTCTGGGTAGCCCATTGCACTTTGGGACATTTCTTACTGTTAGGAAGTCTTTTCTTCCTGACATCAAACCTAAATTCTTCCCTTTACCATTTCTCCCATTGCTCCTGGTTCTACCCTTGAGGACCAAGACAACAAATCTAATATCCTTCCTCCTGCATTTTATAGATGAAGAGACACAGGACCAAGGAAGAGGAAAGGACTTTCCCAAGATCTTAGGTAGAGTTAGGCAAGCCTGCTGAGACTAGACTATTGGGTTCTGGATCACCCCAGCCCCTATACTCAGCTTGTGAATGTCTGAAGGGGCAAGGAGGGTGGAGAATGAGGAACATCTTTTTGTGTCTATTTGTGTTGGCCTTCTCTTCTTGTGTCTCTACCTCCCATTTTCAGTCTCTGTTTCTGCATCTGTCTTCATTTTTCTTCATCCTTCTGTCTCTCTTTCTGTTGTTCTGTATTCCCCATCTCTGTGCCTCACTTTCTCCATTTGTCATTATGTCTTTATCACTCTCTGCCATGCTACCCCCAAATTGACAATGACCACCAGTGCTCCATATATCTGATTCTGTGCTCTGGGTTACTGCCTGACCCTGAATTGCTTATGAACCTTCCTCCTGACATGTGACACAGGGTACCTTAGAACCTTGCCTCTGGAAGGCTGAGACTTCCCACCTAATGTCTGCTGGTGCTGATTGCTCACATCTGAGACCTGCTGCCCGACGTCTATGAATCTCACTGCCTAATGTCTGGGGATTCCTCCAGAGATCCATAACACCCTCAGGCTGAGATCTCAGCCCATCCCCTCCATTTTCACCTGCCCACTGGGTCAGTACCTCTTGCATCTTGATCAAGAAGGAGTCAATGAAGTTCCGGGGGGAGTTAGGGTCCAGGGTGGCCTGGTTCTCGCAGACCTTCTCAGTGATGAAATCATCCAGTCCTTGCAGTTCCTTGAACACTTGCTGCTGAGGCCCTGGCAGGTGCTTCATCACTCCAGAGAACATCTCATATAGCTGGGGGAGGGTACAAGAGAAGTCATGGGGTACAGGGCTGGGGTGTGGAGAGAGTGAGAGGATAATCATCATGAAAGATGAAAGTTTAGGTTAGGGAATGGGGGTCACAATGGAGAGTGGGTGGTCAGGATAGGGCACAGAGTCAGACTGGGAATAGGGAGTCAGATTGAGGAATAGAGTACTGGAGGTACAGGAAAGAAAGGAAAGCTGAGGATTAAGGGATGAAGGTGAGCAGAGAGAGACCCAGGTGGGTGGAAGAGAAGGTATCGAGGGTCACCTGTCCCATGGATGTGGCTGTGAACTGGAAGCTCCCCAGCATCATACGTAACAGGGACAGGAACTGTTTGTCCTCATATTCAAATCGATCACCAAAGACAATGGAGCTGATGACATTGGAGACTGTGCGGCTCAAGAAGAAGGTGGGGTCAATGGCAGCTCCTGTAGCCCAGCCAGGTCAACAGAGACACAAGGATAAGGAAGCACAGAGGCAGAGGAAAAAAGGAACAGATCCGCACAGAGGTAAAGAGGCCAAGAGACACATGGAGGTAGTGTTTGAGAAAGATAGAGATGAAGTTGAAAAAGAGAGTTGGTGATGTGTGTTTATGGGGAGGGGATCCATAGAGCATGGATAGGGATAGAGAAGGGAGGGAGAGAGAGAGAGAGAGAGAGAGAGAGAGAGAGAGAGAGAGAGAGAGAGAGAGAGAGATAGATAGATAGAGAGAGAGAGAGAGAGAGAGAGAGAGAGAGAGAGAGAGAGAGAGAGAGAGAGAGAGAGACAGAGAGACAGAGAGACAGAGAGTCTCAGTTTGTGGCTCTCACATCTTCCTCTAAAAGATAGTCATTGTCCCAATCCCCAAACCCCATAGAGTAAGGAGATTAGATGCTAGAGGTGCAGTTGTCCACTCCCTCTTCTCTCTCTCTCTCTCTCTCTCTCTCTCTCTCTCTCTCTCTCTCTCTCTCTCTCTCTCACACACACACACACACACACACACACACACACACCCCTCTCATCTCCCCACCTTCGGATTCTAGAGTTTCCTTGAGACCTGAAATGAAATGAAACTGAGCCCCAGACAGGGGAGGTGACTCGCTCAAGTAGTAAGGGGTACAGCTGTGATCTACACCCAAGTCTCATGATTCTAAGTTTAGTGCCCTTTTTTCATGACCCAAGACTGCCTACCCTTATCTAGCATGTCAGCTGGAAGGAACCTTCACAGCTACTTAGTCCAAAACCTTTCTTTTTATAGATGGGAAAACTCTGAGCAAGGTCATCTGTTCAGTGATTGATAATGTAGAACAGCACAGAGATAGAGCATGGACCTGAAATCATTGCTGTTCATTCATTTCAGTTATGTCTGATGCTTTATGGTCCCATTGGAACTTTTCTTGGCAAAGGTACTGGTTTCCCATTTCCTTCTCCAGCTCATTTTACAGATGAAGAAAAGGAGGCAAACAAGGTTAAGTGTCTTGCCCAGGGTCACATAATTAGTAAGTATCTGAGGTCAGACTTGAACTCACGAAGATGAGTCTTACTGATATCAAGTCCAGTGCTTTATTCACTGCACCACCTAGCTGACCTACTGAAGTCATGAAGACCTGATCCCAAATCTGATCTCAGACATTGACTAGCTGTGTAACTGTGGATAAATTACTTCACCTGTTCTTCAGTTTCCTCATCTTTAAAATGAGGGTAATAAAAGCACCTACTTCCCTAGAATTCTTGTGAAAATCAAATGAGAAAATGTAAAGTACTTCAGAATCCTAAATGTGTTATATAAATGTTTTCCTTTATTATTATTTTAAAAAAAAAACCCAACCCTTCTCCTTTTAGAGGGAAGAAAAAACTCCAAGTCAGGAACTTGTCCAAGGTCACACAATGAGTGAAGGCAAAGGTAAAACTCTAATCTGAGTCTCCTGGTTCAGGGAGAGGGTCAGTCTCTGAACCTAGACACCAAGAATTGTAGAATCATTGATTGAGATGTGGAAGGGAAGCTAGAGGCCACCATACAGTACATCCTTCTCATTTTACAGAAAATGAAACTGAGATCCTGAGAAATGAGGTCACCAGCTCAAAATCACAAAGCAAGTAAGTGGAGGAGTTTGAGCATGGTAGTCAGGACTATTCACCATACCAGGATATAGAGATCAGCTAGTGTTAGATGCAAGGGAGAAGTAAGTCACAGAGCACAGAGGTAGGTTCTTGGTGGTCAGAGATGACAACAGCCAAATTTGGGGGATGAGGGGGAGAGAACATGATTGATGGAAGCTTGATGGTGCAGTGGTTACAGCACTGGACTTGGAATTAGGAAGACTCATCTTCATGAGTTCAAATCCGGCCCCAGACACTTACCAGTTGTGTGACCCTGGGCAAGTCACTTAACCCTCAGTTTCCTCATCTGTAAGATGAGCTGGAGAAGGAAATGGCAATCTGCTCCAGTATCTTTGCCAAGAAAACTTCCAAAATATCATCTTCAAAAGTTGGATCTAATTGAAATGACTGAACTACAACAGTAACAATATAGTTGATGCTGACCTGGCCCAAGACTCTGGATTATTGCTAAGGCCCACTCACCTTTTGTGCCTCGGAGAGCCTCAATGAGGAAGCCAGCTTCTTCTTGGATGCGCTCTTCAATGCCTCTCTTGCCCATGCCAAAATCCCTAAGAGTGGTGATGGAGAATCGTCGGAGCTGCCGGGCCCTCTCTCCATTGCTGAAAGCCACACCTGGTCATTGGCAAGAAGGAGGGAAGAAGCTCAGGGAAGACTGGAGATTCTGCCAGATCTGAAGTCCTGGTATAGGATCAGAGGTGGATGTCCAGGGAGAGACCATGAGAGTGAGAGAAGGGTATGAAGACTGAGAGGAACAAAGAGAAATGGGGAGAGGGGGGAATTAAGGACACAAGGGGAGGTGTGGAGACAGAGAGATGTAAGGAGAGACAGAGAAATGGAGAGATGGGGAAGGTGAGGAGACAGGGATAGAAGAATGGAGAAGAGAGAGAGAGGAGAGAATTAGGGAGACAAGAAGTGACAGAAAGATGGAGGGGGGGAGAAATGGGAAGACAGAATATGGAGAAATAGGGAAGAAGGTGAAACAAGAAGAGACAGAAAATGATAAAGAGATGGAGGAGATGGGAATATAGTGAGAGAATGAGAAACAAGGGGACATGGGGAGATAAGTAGAGACACAAAGAGAGATATAGAAAGACTGGGCTGATGGGGAGAGAGGAAAAGACAGAGAAGTGGAGAAATAGAGATGGAGGAAATGGGAACGGAGTTAAGAGAAACACAGAGATGGAGAAATAGGGAGATATGGAGAAAAGGACAGACAGGGAGAGATGAAGGAGATAGTGAAACAAAAAAGAGAAAGCTAGAGAGATGAGGAATGTGGGGAGACAAGGAAAGGAAGAGAAATGGGGAAGGATAGGGAGATAGGAAGATAAATCAGAAGATATATGGAAGAACTGGAGAGATAGGGAGGGAAACAGAGAGGCCGACAAGTAGAGAGATCTGGAAGGTGATTGGACAAGAAGAGATAGAAGGAGAAATGGAGAGACAGAGATGTGGAGACAGAGAGAAAGATGGAGGAGTTGAGAGATAGCAAGATGTAGAGTCAAGAGGTGATAGTTAAAGAGAGAGAAAGAAGGTGGAAAAAGGTGAAGAAATGAAAAAGAAAAGAAGTGTGGAGAAGAGAGACAAGGGAGAGATGGAGAAAGAAACACAGGGAGAAGAGGATATGAGAAAAGCCAAAGAGATGGAGAGATAGTGAGAGACCAAGAAAGATGAAGAGACAAAGCACTGGAGACAGATGGAAAACCATGGAGACACATAGGGAGGCAGAAATGGAGAAACAGAGAAAGAAAAAGCAGTGGAAGAGAAGGGAAGGGAAGGGAAGGGAAAGGAAGGGAAGGGAAGGAAAGGGAAGGGACAGAAGCTGTAGGAACCCTGGCCAGCAGCCAAGAGTAGGCCACATTGGCCTGGGGAGAGGGTGTGTGTGTGTGTGTGTGTGTGTGTGTGTGTGTGTGTGTGTGTATGAGAGTCCCTGCCCAGACACTCACCAAATCCCTTAAAGAGCCAGTCAAAGGTGGCCTGCTCTCCCCGACCAGAGAACTCCTCTGCTTGGTCAACCAGTGCCTCCTTCACGGCCTCATACCCAGTCAGGACTATGACGGCCCTCTGTCCCAGGTGGACTGTAAACACAGGCCCATATTTTTCCCCAATCTGGAGGGCATGGAGAAGGCAGAAGAATCAGTGTTTTGCCTCTGAGCCCTGTGAGTTCCTCCCTCTTAGTTTGCTCCCCTAAAAGATAACCTTTCCACCCATCACCTCTCAGCAGCTTTGAAAAAAATTCTTATTGTGACCTAGGCATTAGTAACAAAATACAAACATTTTAGCACACAAAGAACAAGGAAGAGGGTTGTAAATCCTTGTTGTAAAGTTTGTTTATTTTTAAATAAATAAATATACATACATACACATATATATATATACATATAAATATAAAAAATATGTATCTACATGTACATTTTTCCTTTTCTTGAGAGGTAGCATGATGAGACCTAGTTTCAAATTCTTCCTCAGATACTAGCTGTGTGACCTGAGTAAGTCACTTCACCTCTGCCTCAGTTTTCTTATCTGTAAAGTGAGGAGTTTGAACTCAATGGCCTCATATTTTTTCCAACTCAATCTATGAATCCATGATCCTGTGTTTAATAAGACAGTAACAAAATTGCTCTGGTTTTCCCTCCTTTGCCCATTTTTTTTCTGTGATAAGTCAGGGCAAGAAGCATTTATTAGACACCTACTGTGTGCCAGGAACTTTGCTAAGCACTGCAGATAGAAAGGCAAAGACAGTCTCTGCCCTTGAGGAGTTCACAGTCTAATGAGGCATATCTATTCCAAGCCCCTTACCTACACTGGGCTTCCTTAAACAATTCTGCAAAGTCACAAGAAACTAATGAACTCTGTGGACAGGGCAGAGAGAACCATCTGGTGCTGCACCTCTAATGTCCATTTCTACCAAGAGATCTCTGTGGGCTCTCATCTCTCTGTCTCCCACCCTCTCCCTCAGGTCCTCTCTCTCAAGCCCTCTTCTCCACCATTCCGCCCAAATCCCTCTCTTGCAGCCCAGTGCTGCCTATCCCTCCCCAAGAAGAGATTCTATGCTTTTCTTGGAGCTTCTTTCTCATAAGATCATAAAACTTAGCCCTTAGAGACCATCTAGCCCAACCTGGCCATGTTGCAGAGAGGGAAACTGAGGGCTAGAGAGAGGAAAGGAGTTTCCTCAAATCAGTAGTGAGAAGCAGAGACTTTTTTTTCGGTCTCTATCTCTCTGTCTTTCTCCATATTTCCTTCTCTGCCCCTCCCAGAGTCTCCCTCCAGCCACCCTGGAACCTGCATATGAACATGCATCTCTGTATGTCTGCCTCTTTGCTTCTTGTGTTTCTCTGTATCACTCTATGTCTCTGAGTCCATTTCTCTCTGTCTGTTTCTTAGTATCCACTTCAGTGTCTTCCTCTGTTACTGTCTCTCCCTTTCTGACTCCCTATCTCTGTGACATCATGGCTCTCCCTGTCTCTGTCTGTACACCTGCCTTCCCTACCCACTCAATTTCTCTGTCTCTGCTCCTTCTGTCTCTCTCTGTGTCTTTCTCAATCTCTGTGTTTCTTTGTCTTAGTCTCTGTGTATTCTCCCTCTTGTGCCCTGCCCCCCAGCCTCAGTACCTTCATCAGAGAGTCATACATCTGCTGGCTGTTGAGCTGCAGGTAGTTGCCAATGAAAGGCAGGGGGGTAGGCCCAGGGGGAAGGCTGCTGCGGACCTTCCTCTGTTTCCATACAGAGAGAACCACTAGGGCTGAGAGGCAAAAGAATAGAGCTGCCAGTAGCAGCCCAGAGGCCAGCATGGTGGAGATGGCAGAGGCCTCACTGCAGTATTGTCTGGGGGTGGACAGGTGCTAAGTCAGAAGTAGGTTCCAGGTAGGACTGTCCCTGCCTTTTATGCCTAGGGATGGGGTTGTTACCTGGCACTGGTCCCAGTCCTCTTATATAACATTCTCAATCCTAACCCATTTCTCTCCTGGGCCCCAGGACTATAGCCAGATCTTAAGGTCAAAGGAGAAAAAGGAGTGGGAGTGGAGTCGGGTGGGGTCTCAGAAACTTAGTATCCCATTGCAGAAGTAAATCAGAGGAGAGTCAAGTTCCAGAGATGGAGGTTTAGAGAATCCCAGAGTCTAGAGATGTAAGTTTTAGCAGGGTCACAGAGCACAGAGATGAGGCTATAGTGTTTTCAGATCTTAGTCATGGTGCTGATAGCTGCCTGGCCCAGTCATGTGGGTTGAGGAGTGTTTCAAGGGTTCAGGGTGCAGAGATGGGGGATCAGAAGGTCTCAAAGCCCAGAAATGGGCTTCAGGAGGTTCTCAGGATCCAGCAATGGGGTTAAGCAATTTAGGGTCCAGTGATGGGAGTTGGAGTGGACATTCTATGCTCAGAGATAAAAGAGTTCAGGGGGCTTTCAAAGCCCAGATATAGAGTTGGGGGGATTTCAATGTGCAGAGATGAAGCTTGGACAGTCTCCAAGACCAGATGGGATTAGGGAGTTCAATGCTTAGTAATAGGGCTTGGGGGAGGGTGTCTCAAAGCTGGAAGCTGGGGCTGTAGGGGTCCCAGGGCCCAGAACTGATGAGAAGCCTTCAGCTTTGTCTCTTCTTTCACTGGATGTGACGTTAGAATGTCCTTCCTTTCCTCTAGTCCACTCAATTTCTCCTTTGTTTGGGGAGGTAGTGAGACAGATGAACCACAAGGACCCTCCCTCTTTTGACATCATATGTACTTGAGACATGGGATCATGTATGTATTATTGTTCAGTTGTCCAGTGACATACTTAGTATTGGGAGATGGAGTATTTTGTCTGAGAAACAGCAAGGTGGCCAGTGTCACTGAATTACAGAGCACGTGAGGATTGGGGGTATAGAATTTGGTCCTGGAGGTTGTAGAGAACCCCCGGGATTTATTAAGTATGAGGTGACATGGTTAGACTTGTACTTTAGGAAAATCACTTTGGTGGCTAAATGGTGGCTGGATTGGAATGAGGAGAGACTTAAAGGAGGCAGACCCACCAGAAGACAATTACCATAATCCAGGTGCAAAGTGATGAGGGTCTGTGTCAAGGGGATGGCAGTATCACAGGAGAGAAGTGGGCATGTTTCGGAAATGCTGCAAAGGTGAAATCAACTGGTTTTGGCAATAGATTGGATATAGGGGAGGTGGAGGGGAGAGATAGTGTGGAGACCAGGATGCCTTTTAGGTTGTGAGCCTAAGGAACTGGGAGGATGGTATCACCTTCTACAGAGAAATTTGGGAGGGGGAGAGGGCTGATGGGGAAAGTTAATGAGTTTGGGTTTGAACATGTTGAGTATAAGATGTCCAAAAGACAGTGAGAGATGTAAGACTGGAAGTCAGAAGAGAGAGATTAAGGCCAGATAAGTAGATCTAGATGTATCAGCATAGAGAATATAATTGAATCCATGGGAAACAATGAGACATCCAGCAAAACAGTATAGAAGGAGAAGAGAAAAGGGTCTAGCACAGAACCTTGTGGACACCCACAGCTAGTGGGAGTGACTTGCATGAAGTTGCAGTAAAGGAGACTAGAAGAAGCAGTCTGGTAGGTAGGAAGAGAACCAGGAGAGAGGAGTGTCAAGAAAATCCAGGGATAAGAGAGTATTAAGAAGAGGATGATCCACGGTGTCAAAGGCTGCAGAGAAGTCAAGAAAGATGAGGGTTGAGAAAAGGCCATTGGATTTGGCAAATAAGGAATCATTAGGAACTTTGGAGAGAGCGGTATCAGTTGAATGATGAGGGTGGAAGCCAGACTGTAAAAAGAAAGAAGAGATTGAGAGGAAAGGAAGTGGTAACACTGATTGTAGATGACCTTCTCAAGGAGTTTAGCGACAAAAGGGAAAAGAACTATGGGACAATAGGTAGCAGGAATGGATGGATAAAGTGACTGCTTTTGAGGATAGGGAAGACATGTTAATTGGTAGTAAGAAAGTAGCCAGTTTTTGAGGATAGGGAAGGCATGTTAATTGGTAGTAAGAAAGTAGCCAGTAGACAGGGAGTGACCAAAGACAAAGAGAAAGTGGGGTTGATAGATATGGAAGTCTGCTATGGAAGACTGAATGGAATGGGATCTAAGCAGCAGAGCCAGTTTTTTACGTGAGATAGGGGTGGAGGAGATAAAGGCATCTGGGTGATGTGAGATTAGGAGGAGGGGCGATGAGGAAGCTCTCAGTGAATAGCTTCAGTTTTTTCAGTGAAACATGAGGCAAGAATCTTAGCTCAAAGAGTGAGGGCAGGGGAGACAAGGGAGGTTTGAGGAGGGATGAAAAAGTTTGGAAGAACCTCTATGCTGAGTAGGATTGTGAGTTAATTAGGGAGATGTAGAAGGATTGCCTTGTAGCAGTGAGGGACCAGTTGAGGTTATGTAAACTAAATTTTTTAGTTCAGGGGCAGTTAGGTGGTGCAGTGGATAGAGTATTGGAGTCAGGAAGAGCTGAGTTCAAATCCAGACTCAGACACTTATACTAGCTGTGTGATCCTGGGCAAGTCACTTAATCTCTATTTGCCTCAGTTCCTCATCTGTAAAATGGGGACACATTGGAGAAGGAAATGGCAAACCATTCCAGTATCTTTGCCAGGAAAACCCCATGGATTTTGTCCAATTATTTGTCCATGGAGTCATGTAGAGTCAGACATAACTGAACAATAACAGCGACAACAAATAATTAAATTTACAGTGGGCCTAGTCATCAGGGTTTTAAGATTTTCTCCAGCTTTGTCCAGCAAGAACATAAGAGAGACAGTAACAGATGGTAGGAGTTATACAAGGCTGATGCTTGGCAAAACACGATCAATAATACAATAAGGGGAAAAGGACTCAAGAGAAGGACATTGTAAAGTCAACATGGTTCACCAAGAAGTCAAGAGGGAGAAGGGAGGAGAGTATTGTTCATACAGGGGTGATGGCCTGGGAAAGAATTTAGAGGTCAAGGGATTGGAAATTAGGGTGTGGATGAAGGACAGGGTTTGGGGTTTGGGGTTACAAGAAGGAAAGGTGGAATAGGCTGTGATCATATAAGGAAATCTCCAAAGTCATAAACATGGTGAGATTTTAGATGGGATTTGAAGGCAGCCAGGGAAGTCAGGAGGTAGAGATGAAGAGGGAGAGGATCCCAAACATGGGATAAATAAATCTCTAACCCAAACTCCCATAAATGAGCCATTTCTACTTGGCAGGGGATGGGGGTGAAGGCAGTTATTAGATCTTAGCATTTAGAGTTGGAATCCTCCAGCTGGACACTTCATTTTTGTTGTTTTTTCTTTGAAAGTTTTAATTTTTAAAAATTATGAACTTAATTATCAACAAATATGAACATTTCAACTTCTTTGTTTTGCAAATGAAGAAAGTGAGGGACAGAGAGGTGAATATCAGGCAACTAGCTAGTGTCAGAGCTGAGATTTGAACCTAGTTTCTCTAATTATGTACCTGAGAGGGTAGTCACGTGAAGAATCCCCAGAAGGGATATCTGCCATGTGTTGTTCTGGGCAAGGTCTGGGCAGGAGGAAAAGAACAGAAGGAAGTTAATTGTGGTTTTTTTAGTGGAGGGTGAGGGGGGGCAGAAGAGGAGTGGTGGATTAAGTAAGAGTGGGAAACTAATCCGGATTGCCAATTATTTGCACCTGGTCTGGCCCAGGTCCCAATGGCCTTTCCTCTCTTATCCTTCCAGTGATGTCCCAAGTTCTCCCCTCTCTAAGGCAATAGTATTGGGGGACACAGGGTTAAGGAGGAGCCTTAGAAATCAGGACAACTTTCCTCATATCTACTGTTGGCAAGAAGAGACCAGGGAAGGTATGGGTTGTTGAAGAAGGACTGGTTGGAGCAAGGCAGATATGTGTATGTGGTGTCAGTGAGCATGGATGGAGAATGGATCGACTCTGGTGTCAGTGACTCCAGAAAAAAAAAGCCTTGGAGTCAGAATATGAAATTAACCAGAGATCTTGCAGAGCTCTGAGGCACAGACTTTGAACCTGGGGTCAGTCAGATCTGAGCTCATGTGAGTCAGTGAGGGTCAGTCATTCCTGCCCCTGATCCCTACTGACTGTGACCTCAGTGAAACATGGTTGGGTCAAAGGGTCTGGACTCACAGCCACCTAAATCTGCTGCTACACCACAGACTGTCTGTGAAACATAGGAACCCCATACCTAAGGCAACATTAGGCAGTGGAAAGAGTGCTGAACTTGGTCAGAGTCCCAGGACATGAGTTGAATTCCAGTTTTGTTGCTTACTACCTACTATGACCTTAGGCAAATCGTCCAACATCTCTGGGCCTCAATTTTCTTATCTGTAAAAGGGGAAGGGAGTTGGACTGGGTAATCTCTAATCAAGCCTCCCAGGTAGAAATCCTGGGATCAGGAGGGTGAAAACTTTGGCTTCCTATCCTTGAGAGGATATTTCTCAGCTCAAAATGTTCTGTTCCTCCCTGCTTTCCATCCTCACCCTCAACTTTTACCTCCATTCTGGAATAGAAACAGAAAGATTATTCTTCCTCTTCAAACCCTAAGAGGATTGGAAGGGGGGGGGGAAATCAGAGTAGAGTGGGGGGGGCTTGGATGTGGGCAAGAGGGGAAAGGTTGGGGGATGGGGAGAAGTGAAGTTTGCTTAGAACTGAAGACAGAGTGATTGAGGTAAGGGTCTTGGCTGGTATTTCATAACTGAAATCCTTTTCAGTACAGGAAAGGACTCTTTTTATCCATGGGTATTAGATATCAGATGGGCAGGTCAAATGAGCTCCTTCACCCATGCCCCACCTATCAGTTTCCTCTATTGTGTTGGACCAGATGGCCTTCCAACTCTCAGTCTCTGGTCTTATGATCCTATGTTTAGGCCTGCTG